TTCAAAAAAAAAAAATGATATTATTTGTTTTGGTCGGCTTGGATTTAATTGCTAAAAGCCACTTATATATAAAAACATTTGAAAATCAAAATATATTATGAATGAAAAAAAAAAGTGAAAAGCAGAGAATCCCTCTAATTCGCTTCTTTGCCAAGCAAACCACCAAAACCTCTCAATTTCTTCCTTTCTTCTTCCTTCACTTCAACCAAACCAATCATCAAATTTCACCAAAATGTCAGATTTGATTCACCGGAGAAAAGTTCCGACTCCGATCGGGAACGGAGGCCGGAGCTTCAGGACGAGAAGGACGGCGTCCCGATGTGTTTCCGATAAGAATCGCTCGAAATCGACTAATCGAGTTTTCGAGCGAAGCTTCTCGGAGCCGAGTCTCAACCGTCGCCGCGACGGTGAAAGTAATTACTTGCGGCGATGGTCGCCGCCGATGAGAGGTTTACAGACAGAAGAATCCTCCGACCCGATTGTTAACTTGCAGTTGCATAGGATTCGCTCTGAGGTTTTCGCTTCTTCTCCGTCGTTGTTGTCGGGTTTCTCTTCGCCGTCGTCTCCATCTCCGATCAATCAAGAGGTCAGAATCTGTTTCAAATCAAAATTTACGATTTCAAGTCCTTATAGTTTGAATAATTTCTTATTTAACGCCTATTATATTAAAAATATTCTAATTTAACCTTTAGTTCGGCTATTTTCAAACCAAGAATTCTAATAAGCTGTAAATTTTATTGTAGTCAATTTTACATAACAGATTCTGTTAAAGATGCCAAAAGTATTTTCATTTATAAGAGATTCTGTTTTTCTTAATTTGAAACAAAATCAGGGTAATAAAAGAGAATCACCAAAAGTAGTAATAAACGTAGCAGTAGAAGGAAGTCCTGGACCTGTAAGAGCAATGGTTAAATTGAGTAGCAACGTTGAAGAAACGATCAAAATCGTTGCAGAGAAGTATTGCAAAGAAGGACGAACACCAAAACTCGATCAAGATTCTGCCTTTGAATTGCATCAGTCACATTTCAGCATTCAGTGTAAGTTATACATAATTCTATGCGGTAGAAGATAAATGGTACTAGTAAATA